TACGGCCATCCAACACACAATCAGAGTGTACCAAGAAACGCTGTATTACTTCTTAAGAATCTAATGGACGTTTTTTGGTACAACGTGCAGGGCATGGCCAGGCTCGCCCCTCAAGCGCATGGTACGACCATCCAGCGCGCAATCAAGAGTGTACCAAGAAAGGCTGTATTACTTCGCAAGAATCTAATGGACGTTTTCTGGTACAACTTGCGGGGCATGGCCGGGCTCGCCCCTCAAGCGCATGGAACGACCATCCAACACACAATCAGAGTGTACCAAGAAACGCTGTATTACTTCTTAATAACCTAATGGGCGATTTCTGATACATCCCGCAGGACATGGCCGGGTCTGCACAAGCTTTGAGGCCGCTGCAGCTTTCTGGCGGCGGGACACTCGGTGACGTACTGCCAAATTCTTTCTAGTCGGGGAACGACCGTGTGTACCAAGCTATATTGCACTTCTTTTAAAAAATCTAATGGCCATTTCTTGATACATCTTGGCAGGCATGGCCGGCCCCTTAAACGGTGTGAGCGTTTCATTTGGGAGACAACTCAGAGGGAGTCGCAAACGCGTACCAAGAAACGATGTGTTACTTCTTTAGAATCTAATGGGCGTTTTTCTGGTACACCTCCGAGTTGCAGGGTATGGCCACCCTCGACTTCCGACCGTCCAGTGCACAACGGGCCGTCTGTACTAGGAAACACTGTATCACTTCTAAAGAACGTAATGGGTTATTATCTAGAACATATTGGCAGGCATGCCACCCGGCCTCTCAAAACGCTGTGAGCTTTCCATCCAAGGAATGGCAAGCTCAGAGAAAGCTGTGAACGTATACCAAGAAACGATGTGTTACTTTCCAAGAATTTTATGGGTCTTTTTCTGGTACACCTTAAAATTGCAGAGTATGGCCGGCATCCGACTTCCAATCGTCCGGGGCACGATGGGCCTGTACCAGGAAACGTTGTATTACATGTATCCAAGGTCTAAAGAATATAAACGAGTAGGACTCTTCTGGTACCCGTGCAAGTTGCAGGGTGGAGCCGGACTTATCGCCTACGAGAGTTTCTATGGGAGAGCGCTGAATTGCCAGCAAGGCCCCTTTTTTTCCCGCTTAGGACGTCGCTGCCAGACCTCGCCGCCCCTTGCCACTTCGGAGTCACGTACTGCCACTGTGGTACAGATCTTGCCAATAAACGGCAAGCTACAAGCATGGCTCGCATATTGGCAGAACTTAGGTCATGAAGGGCGACCGTTTTTTCCAAACCAGAAGTCGCCCCCTTTACAATCTCAAGGGGATCGCCGAGACTTAGGGCCATCGAAAGTGGCAGAAACTCAAGCGTTTCTCTCCGGTCCCAGGATGAATCTTGCGACGGCGCCCCGTGATGAGAAACGACCCTCCGGCTTCGTGCTCATTGCCTCGACCATCCCGGCGGCCTCGGCGAGCCTGCACGAGAACCTGAAGGCCGGTCAAGCCGTCAGGAGTTGTGCGGTGGTCCACTTCGAAGGCTCGGCTCTGGTCTTCAGCGACATCAAGAGCGTCCCGGCTGCCGTCCCGCCCCTACCAAATGCTGGAGGCGTGCGAGGGGGCCGCCCCTCCTATGCGGCCAAGCAGGGGGGCGCCGACTTCATGTTCGACTATGGGCTCGCCTTCAGCCTGCGGCCTGCTGGAGTTTTTGCTCGGGGCGGATTCGGCTCGACGTGTATTGGGCGCACGTGTGGCGGGAAAGGGACGGTCTACGCTCGAGGGAGCGAGCCCTTCATCTGGGAGCGGAAACGAAACCGGGGTGGGGCACTCATCTGCCGAGGCGGCGGGGGGCACCTCTTGTGCTTGCGGTGCGTGGGGGCTCAGTACGAGGAGGGGCACCCCTTTGTTTCGAGCGCGAGTGGGTGCCCTGTTCCTCAGCAAGACCTCTTCACCAAGTATGAAGCGTTCCTCAGCACGAAAGAGCTTCGAGAAGTACGGTCAGGAGAGGAGGCAAGCGAGGATGCCTACCAGTTCTTTGTCCAGAGGAGGGACCTCGCCCCATGTCCGTACTGCCGCGAGCCCAAGGCGGCCGCCCTTTTGAGGCGCGGTGTCAAGAGAGCGCTCGAGCAGGGGGCGAGTCCACGGGAGCTCGGCACGGCGGCCCTCCTCTCGGAGCTCAATCGGAGCAAGATCCCTCCGATTGCTGTTGCTCCCGGCCTTTTTCTCCTCCCACAGCTTGACGCCTCCAGTGGGCGCCTTTTGGAAGTCTCTGCAACGGGACGGAGCCTCAGTAACGTTCCACGGCTCGTCAAGGTCGACCACATGGGCAGCTTCAGATGCCTCTGTGGTCAGAAGGCGTGCCGTGACCACGACATGAGGTTCCTGGAAGCGACCCAACTCATGAGCGGCTGGTGGCAGGGAGGCGCGGCCATCTTCGCAGCCCTTGATCGACAGCCGTCCGTTCGCGCGGGAGGTCACTGACGGCGTGCCTTGGGTGTTGCCGTTGGACCAAGGGGGGTGCGTGGGGGTTGTCCTTCGTGGACTAGACGCGGAGGCTTGGAAAGGGGGGCCGCACCTCCGAGTGATTGTTGCGAGCAACCCCGGAGAGGAGCCCGTGGTTTGCGTGCTTGGAGGAGAGGTTGCGCACTGTAGCAGTATCAACTGCACGGGTCCTGAGCGGTGCTGGCACCTGTTGAGTGCGCTCTCAAAGCAAAACTTGCCTCTGATTGAGCGAGCAACTGATGAAGGCAGGAGCGAGGCGACTCGGGTTCTTGCTGAGAGACGCGCCGAGAGGGTTGCGCAGCGGGAAGCGGCGGCGAGGAGGCTTTTGGTCTGCAACGACCCCTTTTGCCGACGGCCAGACTCAAAAGCTGCGCGCACGCACCGAAGGACGCTGGAGTCGTGGGAGTGCCTTTCGGCGGCAGCCCTTGACACGGGGCACAGCCACAAGAAGGTCGACACTGTCATGAGCCTGGGGGGAGGGAGCGTCGCGAGTCTCTGTGAGCGATGGGGCGAAGAGGGGGTGCGGCAGCGAAATAAGGCAAAGCACTTTTGCGCGCCTCGACCTTTGGATGCGTTGTCTCCCTGCGGCCGCCCATGGCAGGTGGAGAGCAGGAAGGGGGCGTTGACGATGGCGGGGGCGCGCTACAAGGTCACTACCTATCGGAGGGTCTGCCGCATTGCCCCAGGACGGGAGGCCGCTTGCTGTTCGATTATGTACGACGGTCAGGTGAGTATCAACATCCAAAATCATTTGCATTCGCAATTCTCTGTCTTCTCCAATTGGGCCATCGCTCTTATAAGGCTTCTAACTTCACGGGCCTCTTCAAAACCTTGTGGCCCGTTATTCTTCTGAAGCGCTCTCAGAATTACGTTCCATTTGAGATTAACCTTCTCAATTGCTACTTGCTTACAGGAGGACGGCATCTTCAACTTTTCCGGCAGCAATCTCTTCTCCCACGGCCTTCTGCTTCGCAACCACTTTGCAGCGGCCCTGGGGGCAGCCCACAGCCTCAACTTTGAGGCCGGTGACATGGCGACGAGGAGCCTCGAGGGGCCGGACGCTCCTAGGCTTGACGACCGGGTGTTCCACTCGGCCATGCAGGCCTTCAACGACCTGGCTGCCCGGCCTCGGATCCAGCACGTCTGCTCGCGCTCGGATTGCTCCCACCTCTATGCGAGCGAGGTGAAGGCGGCCGAGGCGGAGGCCCGGGCGGCCGGCAACCCCCTGAGGCCAGAGCAAGCAGAGGGGGCGAGCTCCGAGCTGTCGACCTACGCTTTTGGGCGGGACAAGGTCATCACCTTCGACGGCACCTTCTTCGCCAACTCCAGCGCGATGCGGGATTCTAGCATGGAGGCGTCCTTGCACAGCATCTGCGAGCCGGATCTAAAGGCGCCGAAGGTTGCTGGGGGCTTCACTCCTTTAAGCGTAGGCGGAATGCGCCCCTCCGACGTGCCACTGGAGGGAATCGACTGCCCTTGGAAGTATCGGAACGGGCTGTCCGAGTTGCGGCCGGCCGTGCGGGCGCTGGCGCTTCGTTGGTGCAACTTTCGGAAAGCTCCGGCCCAAGGGAGCAACGCACCTTTGAAGCCGGAGGAGTTTGTTGCTATGCGGGAGGGGCTTCCGGCAAACGTTGCTGCCCTGATCGACTTCGTGACGGAGGCGGGAGCGTGTGCGGACCCTGCCACGTGTGCCGTTTGCCAGGCGGTCCCGAGACGACCTTGGATGCAAAGGATTTTCAACGAGGGGCCGGTGGGGCCGACCGGCTGGTGTCCGACTCACTTCCAGCCGTACGGAGCCCTCCTTCACGCGTTGCTCACCCCCCGCTATTCGTGGGTCTTTGGGCATATCGTCACGCTGAAGCTACATGAGACACGCGTTGCTCGAGGGGCCGCTCGACGAGCGTGGGCTGGCGTACCTCTCCAACGACGGCCCCATGCTGGCGGCCGTCCTTCGCCTCCATCCAATTGCCGGCGGACAGTACACCTTTCCAGCAACGCTGCGTCCGCTCGTCCGGGACATCTACGCCACGAACCTCCTCTGCTTCGAGCCGAGCGCAAACCGGCCGGCGGGCCCCTCGTTGCGATCGCCTCTAGCCGCCCTCCATGATGCAACGGAGCACCTATGGGCGATCGAAGGCGAGAAGCTGAGGCTTGCGGGTCAGCTAGAAGGGGCTGCTATGGAGTATGCCGAGCGACGGGGAGCGGCATTGAA